ATTAAAATGTTATGAAAACTTTAAATAGATTAGATGTTTTATCTCTTAAATTCTAATATTTATCTTATTATCGAACATTGGCATTGTTTTGTATTGTATGTACATGTGTAATTTATTGTAAGTACATGCATAATTTATAATCCGATTATTTAATGTTGGCATCATTTAATATTTTATGTACATGCATAATTTATTGTATTTACTACATGCTTAACTTATAAACTGCTAGGGTTGGATACCGTTAAGGATGAAACGGTACGATACCATACCGGTATTTTTGAAACGATACGGTATTTTTAACGATACGGTACCATGCATTGATGAATGAGAATGAGGGTTCATTTTATAACAAATGTGCTTTCACCATTCACTAACCTTTCAATGATATAATCTAAAATGAGCTTATAAACTTTGTTCCATGCTTTTAAGATATAAAAATAGATATTCCTTATATTCAAATTACAAACATTTCATTTCAACTTTTCAATAAATAAATGATCAACAAAACAAATCAATTGAATCCCAAACAAATTAATTTGCCAAATCGGCTGACTGCTTCACCCGGTTGTCAGGGCCCCTGTTGTTTGGTCGCACTAAATGACAAAACATTAGATAATGGATAGATCACATTTTTTGCAACATTTTGCCTTTTTAATTTACATTTATTATCAGTTTTATCTGTAAAATTAAAATAAGATTCATGTGAACGTATTTTGATTTTTAAAAAAAAATATATACGTATTGATTTACCTCGAATATCGGCAGTCGAAAGTAAGTATCTTTCTAAGAATCCATTTCGTTACATGTAATTAGCCTACCCTTTCAAAGAGCGGAGAATTCGATTTTAGCAAGTTTGGAATGTTTATTTTTTAAATCAAATTGAATGAACTAAAATGTTTTAAAGATTAAGAAGTATCGTTATTAGTACCGGTATTAAATGAAATGGTATTTTACCGGTATTTTTGAAGTACCGAGTACCGGTATCCAACCCTATAAACTGCTATGAAAATTTTAAGTGCTTTTTAATTTTAGCACCAATGTCAATTCGCAAATTTTGAAACGTAAAAATTAATCAACAGCTTTTTGAACCAGATTAGCAAAAATAAATCGACGTAAAAATTTCGAGATTTACGGTATTTCTTTAAAAATCTTCTCTGCACCTGGGCATATCAGAGGCAAAAAGAGTTAATGTTTTAATAAGAAAGGGTATTTTTACCAGATTTTTGAACATCCAGACCATTTGGACAAGTGTTCTGGTCCTGGCCAGGGCTCTATTAATTTGTATTCTACTGAGAGGAGTTATTCCCCTTTGCCATTTAGTTTTGATAATTAATCAGTGTAAATAATGTATTTGAAAGGTTAATAGAATAAGAAAATTATGCAAGAATTTTTACCGTATAATAGAAAAAGTACTTTCATAGTTTTAATGATCAGTTAGACTTGTAAGTAATAGATAAATAAAAATTTATTTTGAAATGTGTAGTAAAAATCTTTAAAAATCTTCTCAAGAACCACTGGGCCAGAAGAGCTGAAACTTATGTGGACACATCCTGAGGTAGTGTAGATTCTAAATTGTTCAAATCATGACCCCCGGGGTAGGGCGGGGCCACAAAAGGAGTCCAGTTTTACATTGAAATATGTAGTAAAAATCTTTAAAAATCTTCTTCTCAAGAACCACTGGGCCAGAAAAGCTGAAACTAATGTGGAAGCATTCTGGGGTAGTGTTGATTTTAAATTGTTCAAATCATGACCCCCGGGGGTAGGGCGGGGCCACAATAGGGAATCCAAGTTTTACGTTGAAATATGCAGAAAAGATCTTTAAAAATCTTCTTCTCAAGAACCATTGGGCCAGAAAGGCTGAAACTTATGTGGAAGCATCCTGGGGTACCTAGTGTAGATTCTAATTATTCAAATCATGACCCCTGGGGGTATGGCAGGGCCACAATAATCACTAGGGGGGGGAAGTCACATGAAAAACAGCAAGGCCAAAGTTACTCAGGTGAGCGCTGTGGCCCATGGGCCTCTTGTTTCATTATGTTAATGCCAATATGAATAGATTTTATTGTTTTCATATTCTTTTAAATAACTACAGAAGATTCTTGTTTTAAAAAATTAAATATTTATAGTTTAATTAACAAATTGTCAAGTACACATATACATGGTATACGGCACACACCAAAAAAAATGAGGTGCAGATACCAATAAATTGCATATGCATGACTTCTCATTGGCCTTTCCCCAGATACCTTTTAGTTTTACCAACAAATCCTTCTGTTTTGTGTAAAATATCACAGATTTCCACCTTCCTCAAAAATTCGATCATTCTTGAGACTTGACATGATCGACATTAAAATATGTCATATTTGCAAAATCTATAAAATATTCTACTGAAAAGCCTAGGCCTGAACAGTTTTAAGATTTAACATTTCCTTAGCACTATTATTCTCTAGAGTCTGCTGAAGATGTTTTATTATTTTTTTTATGCATAATCACATACAGCTGGAGATCGTTAAAACTTGACCACAGGTGTCATTTTCCTCGTCTATTTTTACTTAGTTAAAATCTCTTTGAAAACTTGCTCATGCCAGTGATGGTATCTAGATCTGTTTATGCTATTTTTTTCTTCTCTGCCTTCTCTATCTGACAAATTATCTTTTTCTTACATATTTAAACTACTTTTATCAGTTTATTGCCGACTTTTCTCCATTCTTCACATGGCTCTTTTGCTATAAATAGCGGCACACGACTTTTAATACAGACGGGAGATAACTCTTAAACTTTGACCCAAATTCTTGTGGAATAAAAAATACACACCCAAAAATCAAAATAAAAAACACCGAGGCGGGACACTTTGAGAGGGGCGGGCGGGGATGAGAATCTAAAGATTAATTTTATCTGGCCTAATGAATCCTAGACAAATTATTTTGTTGATCCTGATCACCGTATTTTTCTTGCTTTTGGGCAACAAAGCTTCACCTTTCAGTTCATTTTATACTCTATGGATCCTCTAAATTGTTGTATTATACTCAGGTGACCATTAAGGCCCTTGGGTCTCTTGTTTTCATTGTCTTGTGATTTTTAGGTCACCTGAGTCACTCAGGTGACTTTTGTCTGTCATTGTGCGTCATGTGTTAACATTTGAACATTTTCAGATTCTTCTCTGAAACCACTGAACCAATTTCAGCCAATTTTAGCATATGGCACTGATGTGTGAAGGGGAACAAAATTTGTGAATTTCTTGGCATGATTGTAATAAACATTGAGCCCTCTACCAAAATTGTGAAATTCATTGCCCCAGGGTCAGGGGTTCTTGTGCTAGGGCGGGGCTATATAGATCATATAGTGAAAGTGCATTATTTCTTTGAAAATTTTCTGTACTCCTGGGTATTAAATACATAGTTATGATAAGCAAGGATGACTCTACCAAAATTGTGAAATTCATGGCCCCAGGGGCAGGGGTTCTGGTGCTTAGGCAGGGCTATATAGAACATAGTGAAAGTGCATTTTTTCTTTTAAAATCTTCTTTCCTACTCCTGGGTATTACTGAAACAAATTGAATACATAGTTATGATAAGCAAGGATGCCTCTTTCAAAATTGTGAATTTCATGGCCCCTGGATCAGGGGTTCTGGCATTAGGGCAGGGCTTTATTGATTATATGGTGAAATGCATTAATTTTTTTAAAATCATCTTCTCTGCTCCTGGGTATTATTTAAACAAACTAAGTACATTGTTGGGGGGGGGGGGGGGGCTCTATTGATAATATAGTTAATATAGTGAAAATGTTTGAATTCTTTGAAAATCTTCAACTAATTGCATAGTTATGATGATGAGGGTACCTCTTCCAAATTTGTAAATTTCATGACCCTGGGTCATGGGTTCTAGTTTTAGGGTACTACTATGTTAAATCTATAGTGAAAATGCATTATTTCTTTGAAAATCTTCCATGCTCCTGGGCATATTGGAGGCAAAGAGAGTAAAAGTTTTAATAAGCAAGAGTATTTTTACCAGAATTTTGAATATCTAGACCATTTAGTCAAGTGTTCTGGTCCTGGCCATGGCTCTATTAGTTTGTATTCTACTGAGTGAAGTTATTCCCCTTTGCCATTCACCTTTGATAATTAATCACTGTAGATAATGTATTTGAAAGGTTAATAGAATAAGAGAATTATGCAAGAACATTAATTGTATAATACAAAAAGTACTTTCAGAGTTTTAATGACCAGGTAGACTTGGAAATAATAGATGAATAAAAATGAAACAAAAATTACTTGTCTTTTTAAATGTTCTTCAAAGGTCAAGTGAGGCCAGTGTGAGAGGTAATAATATGGGGCTAAAAAATAGATATTTTATTAAAAGTCTGCATGTTTACAGTGATAAATGGGGGAAAGATAGATTAGATACTAGACCGATCTTAATTGTACTATTTTTCTTCCTTTTGGGCAACAAGGCTTCATTTATCAGTTTATGGATCCTCTAAATTGTTGTACTCAGATGACCGTTAAGGCCCTTGGGCCTCTTGTTTTTTTTTTTTTGTTGCAAGACAACCGTATATTGGGTGGAGCATTCATGTCCAGTGGACCATTTGATTTATATTTGATTTATATTTGTCTGAGCCATTGATAATATAGGATTATTGAACTGAATATTGGCACGAGCTGGCTTTACAATATTGCACGAGCCTCAGAGTTCATTGTCACGTACTGTATAGTCAGTGAGTGCCAAAAATAGACACATCTTACCTAGCTGCCACTACCTTTCATAAATATTTCTGTTGAGAGGGTGACCAGACAACATTTTTTGTTTTAAAATGGGATGTTTGATATTGAAGGTTCACATTCAGAATATTTCAGAGCATACTCGTATATGTCATGCATACTCAGTGTTCAATAAAAAGATATTGAACACCTAAATTCTGTTGACTTGAAGTAGTTTTTTTTAATATAGACTATTTATAAGCTATATAATAATGATTATTTTTGATACTCATTGTCATTTCAGGCAATTTGCACTTCACAAATATAGCCAAAGAAGATGGGGGAAAGATGTACTCCTGTTTTGCTTCTCTAAGTTTCATTGGATTCTATAGTAAAGGACCATTTACAAGCTTAACTGTAAAAGGTATATAATAAACATAAGTGTTTGTATCAAATAAAGTAGAATATATGTATTTTTAATGGTAGGGTTTGCTTTAGTACTGGATATATATGTGTGTGTGTGTGTGTGTTACGGTAAATATGTGTAATCAGGAATTTTATGTATTTCCTGAATTTTAGGAAATACCTGAAATTCCTATTTTGCTTAGGAAATACATGTATTTACTGATTTCAGTTAGGAAATACATGTATATACTGAATTTTACAATATTCTTTACACATATTTACTGACTGTGTTTCTGGTGAGATAGTTTTAAGTTTGAATCATAAAATATGAACAGATTCACAGTTAATTCACCGTTTACCTAACCAACTGAAAGCCAGTGAGTAGAGTTCAATATCTTGTTTTATATACAGTGATCTTTATTTGATTTACTTTCCATGCATTTAAAATGGTTGATGATAAAAAGAAGCTTTTCATTGAGAAGCTCTTTAGTTGGTATCAAAATTATATTTCTGTCAAACTTTGCACAGAAATATTAAGGAGGAATGTTACAACCATTTTTTATTTGATAAATGTTCAAAGTGACAGTACGGCGCGTCTCATCAAAAAACTGACTTGATAAAATTTTCGAACGATTTGGAATTTTTTTACGGCTCATAAATGTATAAACTTTCAGAAAATTACAACTTTCACCATTAAATAATTTTGATTATTTCATTAAAATTAATAGTTATTTATGGGACATTAATATAAACATCGCAACGTGTTCAGGGTTCCACATTCCATGCTATGCACGCATGCGTAGTTTTCATAAACAAAACGGCATGGTAAGAGAGGGAAGCCGGGTAAGCCTGCTACATTGACAAAGTCGACCAAAAAGAAAAAGAAACTGAGAATACAGCTTGAAAAAGCAACTTTTCCTTACTAAAATTTAGTTTGGGGATTAATATAATCATTGGTTAAGGAAGAAACGGGACCTTGGCGACACTCATGCAGGGCTCGCCAAGGTTCTACTTGACAGGTTTGTTGATACTTGTTATCATTAGTCATTTTTCCATCACTTTCAAAGAAAAAAAAGTAGTGTAAACTCAACATAAAAATACACCTATGACTTATAAACATTGTTGTCATTTGAAGTGTTAATTGTTTTAACTGTGCAGAAAAATATTTTGTTTGACATTTGCCGCGATAACGTATGATTTGGTGGTTTTTCCTTTCTCTGACCCCAATACACAAAACGACAACATTTGTACTTTTTATTCTGTTAAATTTGCCTGAAAGCAGACTAAATTCTTTACGATTATTATTTTAGATTATTTTATCAGAAATTTGCTTTTGAAAATTGGTTTTACCTCATATTCATTATAATTGTAAACTCTACAGTGTAGGCACGTGCCGTTTTAGAATTTACGTGGTACAAATAAACAGATCTAAGATTGCTCCAGTTTGTAGAACCCTTAATTTTCCGGCAGATTCTAATTACGTTAATTTTGTATGAGGAGAGAATATCTGTTTCTCAAATTGCTTACATCAACTTTTAACCTTATTTCTTAATGATATATTGGGTAAATTTGAATGAAAAAGCACACGTTTTGCAGCCGTACTGTTGCTTTAAGACATCCCTTTTAAAATACGGTTTCAGCTTTTAACAACTGATATTAGTTCTGAATTATTTTATATGATTTTTTTTATGATGCATTTTTTTGGATAAAATGTGAAAAATTGTTTGATTTGCTTATTAAAATCTTTAGAGTTTTATCAATAGTTAATAAATGCATAATATGATTATCTAATAAAACATATCAAGAAGAGTAAGAAAAACATTTTAATTTTTAGCTCACCTGAGCTGAAAGCTCAAGTGAGCTTTCTGATCACCCGTTGTCTGTGTCCTTCAGCCTGTCTGTCTGTTTGTCTGTCTGTAAACTTTTCACATTTTCATCTTCTTCTCAAGAACCACTGGGCCAATTTCAACCAAACTTGCCACAAAGTATCCTTGGGTAAAGGGGAGACTAGTTTGTTCAAATGAAAGGCCACGCCTTCTTGCAAGGGGAGATAATTATGAATTCATGAAAAATTAATGGCATCATTTAAAAATCTTCCTCTCAAAAACCACTGTGCTCGAAAATATGAAACTTAAATGGAAACATCCTCAGGTAATGTAGATTCAAGTTTGATCAAATCATGACACCCGGGGGTAGGGTGGGGCCACAATGGGCGATCAAAGTTCTACATAGGAATACATTGGAAAAATCTTTAAAAATCTTCTTCTCAAGAACAGCGAAGCCATGATGGGTCATATTTATATGGAAGCATCCTCAGGTAGTGTAGATTCATGCAAGTTTGTTCAAATCATGACCCCTGGGTGAAGGTTGGGGCCACAATGGGCGATCAAAGTTTTACATGAGAAAACATAGGAAAAATCTTTAAAAATCTTCTTCTCAAGAACAGCAAAGCCATGATTGGTCATATTTATATGGAAGCATCCTCAGGTAGTGTAGATTTAAGTTTGTTCAAATCATGACCCCCAGGGGTAGGATTGGGGCCACAATGGGCGATCAAAGTTTTACATAGGAATATATAGGAAAACTCTTTAAAAATCTTCTTCTTAAGAACAGCAAAGCCATGATGGGTCATATTTATATGGAAATATCCTCAGGTAGTGTAGATTCAAGTTTGTTCAGATCATGACCCCCGGGGATAGGGTGGGGCCACAACGGGCGGACAAGGTTTTACATAGGAATACATAGGAAAACTCTTTAAAAATCTTCCTCTCAAGAACAGCAAAGCCATGATTGGTCATATTTATATGGAAGCATCCTCAGGTAGTGTAGATTCAAATTTGTTCAGATCATGACCCCCAGGGGTAGGGTGGGGCCACAACGGGCGGTCAAAGTTTTACATAGGAATACATAGGAAAACTCTTTAAAAATCTTCTTAAGAACAGCAAAGCCATGATGGGTCATATTTATATAGAAGCATCCTCAGGTAGTGTAGATTCAAATTTGTTCAGATCATGACCCCCAGGGGTAGGGTGGGGCCACAATGGGTGATCAAAGTTTTACATAGGAATATATAGGGAACATCTTTGAAAATCTTCTTCTCAAGAACAGCAAAGCCATGATTAGTCATATTTAAATGGAAGCATCATCAGGTAATGTAGATTCAAATTTGTACAAATCATGATCCCCATGAGAATGGAGGGGCAATAAAAGGGCATCATACAAAGGAATACAAAAGAGATAAAATACCCCCCCCTTCCCCCCCACCCGAACCATTTTTATATATTTAAATTTTTGAAGACTGAACTGATTTCTGCTTTTGTGGCAAATTATACAAAGGAAATGCTCCAGAAAGTATTGGGGCAATCAAGAATGGCAGTATGTCCTTTTGAAAAGCAGAGAAAACTTTTAATGTCCCAAAGTCAACTCTAGAAAATCTCGTGTTGGAAAAATATGACTTGGACACAGGTATGGGTTGGATGCCAACTCTTCCAAAAGCTGTGGAGAATAAAATTGTTGAAACTTTAAAGCATGCCTAAAAGTAAGGTATGGGTGTGTCTGGGGCCAAATTATTGCCAGGACAGGAAAGTTATAGAAAAGGTTACATGTTGCCCTGTTCAAGCATATCCAACCTTCCAAAAATTGGTGGACTGGGTTAAAAAAAACACCACTCTGAACTTACCATTCTCCAGGTGTAGAAACTGGATTCTTCTAGAGCCCGAATGATGAACCCAGTCATAGTAGATAAATATTTCGCAGATTTTGGGCAGTTTGTGAAGGACTAAACCTGGAGAATAAGTCCCTCTGCATCTGGAATATGGACGAAACGGGGTGTAGTTTCAAGCACAAGCCTGTTCGAGTAATTGCAGATAATAAAAATAGAAACGTTTTTGGAAAAACCAGCAATAGCAGAACAAATGTCATGATCACAACATGTGTTAATGCCATGGGTCGTTGGATGTCTCCCGTGTTCATAGTGAAAGGTAAACCATCTGCATCGCTTCATAGTTTCAATACAGAGGCAGCTCTAGTAGGAAGCGTGTGGACGTTTCAAGAAAACAGCTGGATGACTGATGTGCTTGGTGAGAAGTGGTTGAAAAATGTTTTCTTGAAAGAATGTGGATCCAAAAGACCACAACTTCTCATACTAGATGGTCACACATCTCACAAGACTCTGGCCATTCTTGAGTGCACTCTCGCTAACAATGTCCAAATCTTGTCATTTACCCCACATACAACAAACATACTACTACCTTTGGATCGTTCAGTCTTTGTGACCTTTAGTGCAGCTTATAATGCTGCGTGTTCAAAATTTATGTCTGAAAATCCCCTGCATATGCAGGGTTCGAAATTCACTATATACAACTCGCAAAACGCGAGTTAGAATTCCCAAATTGCGAGTTAAAAATTAGGTAACTCGCAAAAACTTGCGAGTTGAGTTTTTTTTGCATTGAAACTATAGCAAAATTATATAATATGACAGAACACAATACTTTTGATTTAAATCGGTAATTTAAATAAAAGTTATACTGTAGTTGTATTTTGTGTATTGTACAGTAGTTACTTTTTCCTTAAGTTACATGTATTTAATTTATATAAATTTAACTTTATATGAAAATTGCGAGTAGTCTTATAAAATTGCGAGTTCACTTTATTGGTACTCGCAATTATTTGCGAGTTGTAATTTTAGGGAGTTTCTAACCCTGATATGGCAAATAAATGTAGCTTTCCAGGCTTAATCAAAATAGCTTGGGAGAAGTCATTCAGCGAGCACAACATCTGAAGTTGGTTTCAGGCATACGGTATATTTCTATTCAATAAGCATGTTATTCCAGCATCAGCTTATGCTCAGTCTTTTCCAACAGATTTCCCTGTATCTCAAGCGCCTCTTCTACTGTCTTGCCCACTCCAGAATCCCACAATCCATCTCCCACTACCATCTCTGCCACATCCTCTTTACATGTAGTTTCTTCTGATGACACCCCCTCCAGTTGTTTACACACCCCACATGTCTCCTGTATC